CACTAACAACAATACAACAAAGGCATTAAAGAACACCTCCAAATCAGAATAATCTGTCTTCAAATAACTGTTAGAATCACTGTTGTGCGCATTGGTGGTGTTTTGCTGCAATATCTCCCCTTTCGAGACAATAGATTTGTGACAAAGAACAAAAATCACAATGTCAAATTTAGCAATAATCTAGCAACCAAGATAACACAATTTCAGAAGACAAAATGAGAAAGCATCAAATGTAAAGGTAAGTCATTGACGAAACATACTTAACATAATCACACTCGGTTGAAAATGTTTGAAGGAAATCCTCCTTTTTCTCAACAATATTCTCAGCAAAAATATTCTGTAAGGAATGACTTAAAGATCAGAATTCAATGAGTAAATGGATATTGGATGTCAAGGGAATAGGTTAAGATGGGTGGTCCATGATTACCTGGAGAGCAGATTTCAGATCTGTAATCCCCCTTGCCTCCCTTATAACAGTTAAGGTATAGAAATCATTAGCAAACCATCAGAAGACAAAGCTAGAATCGGGCTAAAGATAAGTGTAAATACTTACATCAGATGTGCTCTGAAATGTAATCTCAGCATATGCATGAAAAGATATGCTGCTGACCCAGATGGTGATCTGCATGATTTGTGATAAAATATAAATTACAAATAAATAAATTAACACTTGCAAGCTAGAAAAGAACGGTTCCAAATAAACAAGTTGGGCACATTTGGTATTGTTTTCATTTTATATTCTAGAAAATAGAAAAAACGGAAACTGACACAAAAAAACTTGTTTGCAGACTATTTTTGAAAAAAATTCTGCACACACCCCTTTTTTAGGAATTACTTTTACATTGCTTTGTAAATCTTTGAAAACAAATTCAGACAAAAATGAAAACCATATAAAAATCATAGGTGCTTTCAATGTTTTTCATTATTTCTATTTTCACCAAAACCAAAAACATCAAAAATGAAAGCAATCCCAAATATGGCCTTAATGTTTAATGTATTTTCATGCAAGAGATTGTGCATGATCTGGGTTGTGCAGGAGGACAGTATATTATTATATGTTATGAACAAAAAGAGCTTTTTTTGGCTTGATAAAAAGCATGCATATCCATGAATGCAACTTTCATAGCCTCCACACTGAGGACATGAATGCACAATGCCAAAACAAGAGCAAGCAACTACTGAAAAGGAGATAGAAACGAAAACGGAAGTTCGATAATCACCAAATAAAATTTGCGCACAGACGCCATAATGGGAAGATACAGTTTCAAGAGCATCAAATTATCAATAGTGGAGTCTTAACCAAATTTTCCAATTTAGCAAAAAGGTGTATTACCTTCAACCCTTGGTTACCGTAAATAATTACTACAGTGCTCATCTAGAACTGCTCACCAACTCAGCATTGGCTCAACAAGCCTGGCAAACACTATAGAACCAAGCTCGTTGTTGCAACAAGCACAAATTGAAGCCAGAGGTCCAGCTTAACTTCTTAAGTGAAAATTGAAGTTCATGATTTTGGAAAAAAATAAAAATCAATCCATACACGACTAATCATTTGACCAAGCAATATTCCTCGCAGATGAAACTAAACCATAGATTAACAAATAAGGTTCGATTAAGGGTCCAAATATATTAACAAAATGAGTGGAGCCTATGCACTCTTAACGTTCAACCTCCAGCTGTGCATCACTAACCCAAATGAACCAAATTGGAACTTGCAACTCCAGTCAAAAGCCCCAAGTTCAATGAACCTGAGCTGAAATCAACTCACTAATTGTCCCATTTCAGATTAAAAATTTGTTCCCACAAAAAATAAACAAGTAAATAAACAGAATAAAACATTTTATAAAACATGTAAGCATATATGATTGTGGTACTATATATATCAGCTACAATCAGAGCCCCATGTTCAACGAGCAAACGCAATACCTCTTCCCAGGAACCATATGCAGTTGAAACAGAGTTCTCTAGGCCACAGACTTCTTGTTGCTTGTGTTCTGCAATTTGTAACAGGAGTTCCAACAACCTTACACACAAGAATTCCACTTAATCAAAAGAGGTCCAAAACCTTTGAAACATTGTTCTACATGTCTTGTTAAGGTATACAATGGCATGATGCAAGATTGTCCTATGTGCAGTTTCACAACAGAACTTAATTTGAGATTTTCAATGATTTGATCTCACAGGACCTAGAATGCAACAAGCTAGACCTAGAGTAGACTATCGCTGATCCTGAAGACTAGCAAGCAAATCACAATAAACACAACAGCTTGCTTTTATAATCTTTTGAATATAAGGTAAATTTTCACTTGCCTCGTTTCCTTTCAAGCTCTTCATAAAGCTCTTCTTCCCATATTCTTTTTCTCTCACAGAAGCTTGTGCTGCCAGTAAAACATTTTTCATTCTCAGTTTACAGAAAGAAAACATGGTCCACCAAAAGAAAATACAAACTAAAGAGAGCATCAAACATCTACTCACAAACCTTGGATTAATCAGCTCCTGATCATCACGAACAATCTCTTTCCATTCACTAGGCTTAGGTGATTGTACTTGCGATAGAGTTTGAACACTTTCAGTGCCAATATTTGATACACATTGGGAATAAGTTCCGGAGCTAGTAGTACAGGCAACGTAAACAGTTGCAGAATCACCCCACTCCAACCTTCAACCGAACCCGACGCCAAAATGCCTCCCAACCCAACCAAATGCCTTTCCAAACACCCCGACCATGTGTCAGCCCCACCCTTCCCGAACACCACCCCCCTCTACCCAAACCATACTTCGCCACAAGCACTTCATCATCATCATCCTCAGCTACTAAGGGCCCACATGGAAATGTAAAATCATTGTTACCCTTACCCGATGCTCGAGGGATGTCCGCAGACTTGTTAACTATTTGACCAAAAAATAAGTTCACTCTACTTTCTAACTCTGGAGTGTCATCAAACTTGCATGGCCAATTATCGTCAGGCTCAGACATAGGATTAAAACTCTAGATTAACAAAAACAACAAACCATCGGTTGTTAGGGGTTACTATGCTGACGAATATTATATTTGTTAGAGGGCATCAAAGAAATATGTTACCTTATTAAAATCATCAGAAAGTAAAGCAGAATCGAACTTTGTTGATACTCCAATCACAAAATCATCTTCATCATCTATCTGACACATGTCGTCATCACAATGGCCTGATCCCGAATAATCCACATCAAGTCCCTGCAACAAACCGCCATGAACCGCCCTGGACAACAAACCAACCAAATGCCTTTCCAAACACCCCGACCATGTGTCAGCCCCACCCTTCCCAAACACCACCCCCCTCTACCCAAACCATACTTCGCCACAAGCACTTCATCATCATCATCCTCAGCTACTAAGGGCCCACATGGAAATGTGAAATCATTGTTACCCTTACCCGATGCTCGAGTGATGTCAGCAGACTTGTTAACTGTTTGACCAGAAAATAAGTTCACTCTACTTTCTAACTCTGGAGTGTCATCAGACTTGCATGGCCAATTATCGTCAGGCTCAGACATAGGATTAAAACTCTAGATTAACAAAAACAACAATCCATTGGTTGTTAGGGGTTACTATGCTAACAAATATTATATTTGTTATAGGACATAAAAGTAATATGTTACCTTATTAAAATCATCAGAAAGTAAAGCAGAATCAAACTTTGCTGATGCTCCAATCACAAACTCATCTTCATCATCTATCCGACACATGTAATCATCACAATTGCCTGATCCCCAATGTGGGACATTTCCTGGGAACTTCTCTGGAGTGTCATCAAACTTGCATGGCCAATTATCGTCCGGCTCAAACATAGGATTAAACCTCTAGATTAACAAAAAAAACAAACCATTGGTTGTTAGGGGTTACTATGCTGACAAATATTATATTTGTTGGAAGGCATAAAAGCAATATGTTACCTTATTAAAATCATCAGAAAGTAAAGTAAAATCAAACTTTGCTGATGCTCCAATCACAAGATCATCTTCATCATCTATTTGACACATGTCGTCATCACAATTTCCTGATCCCCAATGTGGGACATTTCCTAGGAACTTCTCAGGATAAACAGTTGAGCACCTCACACTATTATGAACATCCTTCAATTGTGTGTAGGTTGTCCTGATAATAGGGTCCATGCTAAAACAGAAATTCAACCTCAGAGTTATAATTAGAAATAACAAACAATAATATATCTTTAATGCACCCAAGGTTATTTAACAAAAACCCTTACGAGTTCTTAAGCTCCATCTCAGGTGTTGCCATCTTTTTTCCAGAATTTTCCTAATGATTGTAAAATAAATAAGAAAGGAAAAAGAAAAGCTGCATAATGCAAACAAAGAAGGTTTCATGCAGTTATACTGACCTTAACTGAAGCGCGTAACACAGTATAGGTTTCCTGATACTCCCTAGTAACAAATGGATGCTGCATATGATAAGCCAAAAACCTTTTTTAGAACAATTATTAAAAGAAGTGACAACTTTTATTATCTAACATTGTGTTTTTATCAGAATCAAGGAATGTTCTGCTACAAGATAACCTTACATTTATATATATGAGTCAAGAGCTTAATTTATAAGGAATTGATAAGTTAAATTAGCCTGTAGTGTAATAGTACCTGCAGCAGATCTGATGCAGCAGGCCTTAAGTTTGGTTCCCTGCCATAGAAGGATAAGAGAATGAAACAAACTTAAAAATAAAGCATAAATTATCTTCTTATAAATTTGTATATCAGTCTAAAAAAAATAATTGGCAATGGATACAAAGGGCAAGAGAAGCAAGAAACAAAAATAATAGGCATGTGAAACATACTTCTGCAAACATTTTAACAAAAAATCTGTTGCTTCAGCAGAGAGATGCTCAGGGATGGGTGGATGAGATTTAGTTGTCCCGATATGGAGGAGAGCAGCAACCTAAAAGAAACACCAATTAGTTAGTTCACAAACAATGAACTAACATCTTACCGAGTCCAAAAGTTGTAGTCAACAGAACAAATAAATACTTCAGTAGGAAAACAATGGAAGATGATGGTTTCAAAATACCTCCTGATACTGCTGGCTCCAAGGAGGCTTTCCTGTAGCCATCTCAATAACCGTACATCCAACACTCCATATATCAGCAGAGCTGGAATGTTTGATATTAAACTAATGAGCTAAAACAAGCACAAAATAAGGAGTGCAACAAGCATGGTGTATATGTACGTGCTTAAGTGAAAATATTGCAAGCATTTACTACACCAATGCGTAAGAGTAACTTTATCCACATTGAAGATGTAACTAAGGTGACAAAACACATGGTCGCATTTGTCTTATCCATATCATAGATCAGCTATAAGCATGGAAATACGTGATTGTACTCACAAGCTATGACCGGTTTGAAGGATAACTTCTGGAGCCATCCAATATGGAGTACCCTTCATTGACTTTGGACCAGTCATGGTAGCCTGTACTAGCAACATACATAACTCGGGTATAAAATAATTTGACATAATATTACCTTGGAAAGAAAACAAAATAAATAACTAGAAAAATTAAATAAAAAATGAAATAGAGGAAACATTGTTCACACCAGCTTAACAACTTTCTTTGATGCATCAAAGTCTGCAAGTTTTATGCACCCCTTATTATCAACAAGGATATTAGCTCCCTGACAAAAGCAAGCCCTTTATCATACATATATATATACATAGAGAGAGAGAGAGAGAGAGAGAGAGAGAGAGAGAGAGAGAGAGAAGTTTTATCCTTGTTAAGAATCATTTGCAAGAAGGTGAAGATACCTTAATGTCCCTGTGCATTATTCCATTCCTGTGAAGGTATTCCACTCCCAACAACAATTGTTTTGTGTACATTCTTATCAGTGTTGTCAAAGTCGCGCCTAGGCGCAAGGCGAGTCGAGGCGAACCATCTGCGCCTGTACAGGTGCCAGGCGAGGTGGCTTGAGCCAGGCGAGCGCCTTAGCCGCGCCTTGAGCCAGGCGAGAGAGGCGCAAGGCCCTCGCCTAGGCGCGACTGAGCGTTTAATCTGTAGATCAGATCGAACGACTCAGATTCGACTCAGATGAAGCTTTCGAATGGCATAAAATCACAGAGGATCAGAACTCATGTACCATATCAGCTGGGTTTGAAGCTCCGACCAGTCGAGTTTGCCCTAACCAGTCGAGTTTGAAGCTTCGACAGTCGATTGACAACCTTCGAGCTTCGATCGACCTCCGACGAGCTTCGATCGACCTTCGACGAGCTCCGACCGACCTTCGACGAGCTCCGACGACCTCCATCGACCTTCGCCTTCGCCTTCTCTCTCTCTCACTTTGCCTGTTTCTCTCTTCTCTCTCTCTCTTCGACTCTGTTTCTATATATATGTATAGATATATGTATAGTATAAATTATAATTTATATTATATTATTATAACTTTTTATTTTTTATTTTTTATTTTTATTATATATTTTTATTTATGTTTTTATAAATTATATTTATATATATGATATGTTTTTATTTATATATTATATATATACCTTTATAAATTATATATATGTTTTAAAATAAATTATATATATGTTTCAAAATAAAAATATTTATAAAAAAAATTTTAAAATTTAAGAAATAAATAAAATACTATATATATTAAAAAAATTAATGATTTTTTTTCTTCTTCTCTTCTCTTCTTATTAAAAAAAAATTAATAATATACATATTAAATATTTACTTATGTTAAAAATTGTGCTATATTAATAAAATAAAAAAAAACCCAAAACCATTTTCCAATTTGCACAACAAACCATATTTTATTCATCTCCGGGATTCACCCCGATCCACATTTTACACCACAACCACAAAAAAAAAAAAACAAAAAAAAAAACAAAAAAGAAAAAAAAAACAAAAAAGACAAAAAAAAAACCACACAAGATCACCATCACCACCACAACTGATTTGTTTTCTTTTCTGCCGACGGCCACCCACCGACCTACTCTGCCGCCGGTCTCTTCTTTTTGCCTCCGTCCTGGGCGGTCCTTGACGGTGCTGCCTCTGTGCTTCCTAATCCACCAAGCACATTCACTCCCCCTTGCTCCTCCACTGCAGCATATGGCGGACCTCCAAATCGGAACATCACGGTGGCCTTCCGCTTCAGCTCCTTGTTTTCCGCCTTTAGCACACTTATCTCTGCTCGCGCATCCTTATACATGCGCTGGAGCAGAGCCAGTTGAGCGTTTAAATGCTGCACCTCATTTGTCCTACTCTGCAGCCAGTGCGACAAGTTTGTGACCGCCGTCATGGTCTCCACACATGACTTCAATGTATACTGATTGGCTTCAATATCCGTTTGCCCTGCCATTTTTTGCTCCACAGACCGCATAGGAAAGTTCAACGGAGTAAAACCTGGGGCGCTTGGTTGAGGTTCACTGCCCCCCCCACCAGCCGGTGAATTT